GCCGCTCCCCTCGGCCTCCCCCTGGAGAAGGGCGGCTGGAGGCGGGGGTCGGCCCCTGCCTGCACGGGGGGAGCCGCTTCCTCCTGCGGGCACAGCAGCAGAGCAGGGTTGGAGGTGGCGGCAGGTTCTCCTCGGCCCTTCTCCCCTCCCTTCTCGGGGAGGCAGCAGCGTGGGACGCACCTGCCCGCTGCCCTGCCTGCACCCTGCCAGCCGCAGAGCAGGACGCCATTGCTTGTGGCAAGTGGCAGCCCTGAGAGCAGAGTCAGGTCAGTTCAAGTATCTCGTCTCCTGCTGCCGGTGATGTTTACACCTTAATTTTACTGCTGGGATGCTCTGCGCCCTGGTTGCAGGGAGCTGCTCAGGCAGGGCTCTTCAGCTGTGGTGGGCAGCGGTGGGCAGAAAGCCCCCCCGCAGGGGGGAGCAGGGTGGATGCTTGGGGCAGGGGGGGGAGTTTCTTGGGGCTAACAGCACCAAGCGTCTATCCCCTTGCTCCTAGTAAAGCAAAGGGAGGGGGAAGATCACGGGAAATCTCAGTTTCCCGTTTTTAAGGGCAAAGGAGATTGATCAGGCAGAACAACTCCAGCCAGGAGCTGTTCCAAAATCCTGGCCAGACCACGTCACGACCCCTGTGGTCATGGGATGGTGCAGTATGGAGAGAGAAGCAGTGCCAGGAGAGCTGTACAAGGAAATTCGGGGACAAACATTAGCAGTGCTGGAAGGAAAAACAACAGTGGTGGTTTTGCAATTCACTGTGTCACCAAGGAAATAGCACAGTGTGGGCTGCTGACAGGGGCTGCCTGCGGCCAGGGTGCTCCAACACCACTCACTGGTCCCTATGTCCCTGGCCAAGCTTTTCCCTGCTGCACATAAAGGACTGGTTATTTAGGTCCCTAGCAAAGAGATCCTCGAGTTTGAAAAGGGCGTTAGGGAGCATGGGGCTGGAAGGAAGGGGTGAGGTGCAGCCGTTCGCCGTGGCTGCGGAGCACCCAGCCCAGCTGGCAGGGAGCAGGCGAGGTGCAGCACATCCACACGCCTTACCTGGAGCATTTGCACCGCCAGGGTTATCAATGCCGAGAAGTCGGAGTTCAACGAGGACCAGGCGGCTTGCTGTCAGATCTCCATCCGGAGGAGAGAGCCAGGCCTGGAGGAAAATGAAGAATGGCTGATCCTGTGCTCCACACAGGTACAGCCCCCTGTGCTCACCCTGCTGCCGGCCCTGGTCCGCACCCAAGGGCCCAGGTACAGGAAACACAGGGTTTCCCCATCAGTCCTACCTGTCCGTGTGCTGAAACCCCTTGTTGCACACATTTAGGGTACCCACGTACCTTAGGTCTGGCCAGCAAACGCCCAGGTCTGCCTGTATGTGCTATTTCTACTTCCGTGGCCCATGACTTGCAGCACTTGAGGTTGCCCAAGCCCTTTACTTGCTGCCTCACCTTTCCTTTACTGTCCTCACTCTGCTTTCAAGGGCTGGTGTGTGTTGTCATCACTTGGGGACAGCAACATGAAGCAGGTACAAGGGATGCTCTCACCTGGGAGCAGCTCTGCCTCACCTCTTGTAAAATGGCCCTATCTCCCCTAAAACACAGAAGAGCAGTGCGTGAGGGTGGGTGGCAGCAAATCCAGCTGCTCAGAGCTCAGGTACCGGCCTGGCAGAGCAGCACATGGGCATCATGTGAATTTGAGCTGCTCAGGAGATTATCATATCAGGGAAGGGTAGTTGGGATGGAAAAGCCAGGAAAAACATGTACAGTGATGTCCTGGCTGTGAGCCTGACACCTGTACAACCTCTCCAGCCCTTCTTCCGCGCTGTCCCTCTTCCTTGCTGCAGTTTCTGACCGGTTACTACTGGGCACTGTTTGATGGCCACGGTGGCCCAGAAGCTGCCATCATCGCCTCCAACTACTTGCACTACTGCATCAAGCAGAAGCTGGAGGAGGTTGTGGGAGGCATCACAGAGGCCTGTCCCCCCATGCATCTCAGCGGACGCTGTGTTTGCGATAGTGACCCCCAGTTCGTGGAGGAGAAGCACATCCAGGCAGAGGACCTGGTGGTGGGAGCGCTGGAGAATGCCTTCCAGGAATGTGTGAGTATCCCCGAGCAGGGCAGTGCTCCTGCTGCCCTAAGCAGTCAGTCTGTCCCTCCCCGCTGCCCACGGTGGGCAAGGTCTGCAGTTCTGCAGCTCATAGAGCAGGCAGGAACATTCAGCCAAACCTTCAAGCGTGCTGAGATTGCACGGGGTCAGCTCCCTAAGATCTGCCTCAGATCTATTGTATGTCAGCAGTGCTGACCCAGAGCAAAGTGACGGCATCTCTGCTAAGCTGCACCCAGTGGTTACACTTCCTTAGGACTAGGTGGTGGCTACTGTCACACTTGTACAGCACATACAAGTTTGAGGTCTCCCCATCGTGCTCCTAAAGCAGTTCTTAGTCAAGCAGCAACAGTTTTGTTGGCTGTACCAAAGCACCATTGTCTTTCGCCTTGCTGGTTTCCCGTGGCTGTCTGCAATCAGTTTTAATTCTGGATTTCTGCTGGGAGGTATGAGGTAGCAGCAGAAAGCAGCAGCCTGGCTCATGTCACTCCAAACTTATTTAAACCAACAGGATGAAGTCATCGGCCAGGAGATGGAAGCTACAAACCAGACAGGAGGCTGCACTGCTCTGGCTGCCCTTTATTTCCAGGGAAAGCTGTATGTGGCTAATGCTGGGGACAGCAGGTGAGCCATAATAAAAGGGGGATGAGAGCTGGGAGATGAGCAAGGCTTCCAGCATCTTATTTAATCCTGCAGAAGCTAAATGTGCAATCCAGCCATTTCCCTCCTGCCTGCCACAGGACCTGATGGAAGGATGGGTGCTCTCATGCTTCCAGGAAGGGTTTTGGGATTTCAAGGGACTAACGCTGCCCAGCCACAGGGCAGCACTAGGGTGGTAGTGCAGCAGTAAACTCAGCCTGGCAGGTGTTTAAAAAGTGGAAGGTGATTTCAAGAGCTTCCTCATCTGAACTTGGCTCACCCTTCCTCTAGTTAGTGAATTCTACCATTGTCAAACCAGGCAAGCTCAGTCCTCTGCTGCAACAGTGCAATTGCAATGGAGTTATTTAAAATACACCGTCATTTTTAAGTGTTTCTGGGTGCAGAGCTATATTCTGGCATTGTTCTGCCACTGGTTACCCCCTGGCCCACACCTGGCTGACCCTGGGGCTAACCTCAGTAAGAGGAGGGCTGCAGTGACAGCTCAGCTCTTTGCCTCTTCCCCATCACAGGGCAATTCTTGTTCTGAAGGACGATGTCGTGCCCATGAGCTGTGAGTTCACACCTGAGACAGAGAGGCAGCGAATCCAGCACTTGGTGAGTGACTCCTTCCATGTATCAGACAATCCAGCCACAAGCATCCCTCTGGGTCAGAGAGGGCTGGTGGCAAGAGGACCACCAGCTTTTCTCAAAGGCCACTATGCAGCTAGAATGCCATCTGGCACTAGCCAGGGAGGGCTGGGGACAAGATTCAACCAACAGCCTTTAGTATGGAGATGCTTACATCCTCCTTAGGGTATGCTTTCCCGGTTCTGTTCTCCATTGTGCTGCTGGGAGTGCCAGTCCTGAGGCAGAAGCCATTCTGGTGCCCTGCTCCACTGAAGCAGAACCTGTCCATCTTCATGCTTTCATTCCTGCTTCCAGGCTTTTCTTTTCCCAAAGCTCCTGGATGGCGAGTTCACACGCTTTGAGTTTCCACGGAGGTTGAAGGGAGATGACGTGGGCCAGAAAGTCCTGTACCGGGATTACTTCATGGAGGGCTGGTGAGTCCTTTCTGCCTGAGGATAAGGTTGTGGCACAGGGCAGCTTTACCGTGATGAGGAGGTGCAGGGAGAAGGGGCATGGCCCACTGGCAAGAGCAGTGGGCTTGGTGGTGCAAAGCTGTGCCAGATCAAGTGAAGGATGATGCTGTGAGCAGCCTTCCCCATGATGGACGGACTGGGACTCTGGCAGGGCAATTAGGGAACAGCTGAGATGGTCCTTCGGGGATCCTGCGAGGTGGGGCTGGTGCAGAGAGTCCCAGTGTAGTGCAAGTACAAGCTGGGGATGAAGAGGAGGAGTAAAACCACCTGGGCATTCAGCAAGGGGTCATCTTCACTGCATCTGCTTCAACAAGTCACCTTGCCCTGTCCTCAGTCAGCTGCCTGTGCATGGGGGCACCACAAGGGTTGAATCTCAGTCAAAATACTTTGATTTGGTTGTACTATCAAGTCAGACAAATCCCAAATCAATGGTGAATTCTCTGTTCTAGGGGATACAAGATGGTGGAGAAAGCTGACCTCAAGTATCCTCTTGTCCATGGTCACGGGAAGCAGGTAGCTTAATGCTTTATACACTGGGAAGGCAGAGGCAAGTCTGCTGGGGGTCCTCAGCATCCCTGTCACTGAGTCACACTCCAGGGCACTACGGCAGATTGGGGCTGCAGCACACCCAGTGCTCTGGGGGGCTCCAGCATGGCGCAGTTCCACAGCTCCCTTCGCTAGCACCGTGCTGCCTGGTTAGCATAAACCAGAGCCCTCCGGAACAGAGGTTGCACGCTCCTCCAGAGTACCTGCTAGCAAGAGCAGGCAGCACCCCTGAGCCAGCCTGCCCTTTTCTCATCTCCCCTTGCGCACAAGAACTCAGTTTCAGACAAAAAATTATTTCAGTCAGATTCCACTTTGGACTGTCTCCTCCAGCTCTAGCACTTCTCCCACAAACCCTCAAGGAGAGGCTGACAAATGGAGCCGGGGAGGGAAGGAGGCACCAGGGAGAAGCAATGACTGTACACATCCAGTGTCTGCCAGCTGGAGTCAAGCAGAAAGCCCCTTCACCTCCCACAGCACTACAACCTGCATGCCACCCTGTGTGAGCCTGCACAGGCAGGACGCAGGAACAACCACAAAACCACGGATGAAATGCAAAGAGTAAATTTATTCTTGTTATCTCGCAGCCTGGGAGATCGCTGCAGCAGCACCTGGCCAGAGGCACGCAAGTAGGGACACAGGCACCACAGAGCTCAGTCCTTTCTAGCCAAAAAGAAAAGATCTCAAACCTGCTGCTTTTTCCTGTGTATCCAAGATTTTTGCAGGCGTAGTTTTCCACTGTGCTTTGATCTTTCCCACAGCAGGGCAGGAATCTCAAACATGTTTGGTAAGGTGCCTCTGAGTCTATCACAGGCCTATGTTATCTAAGCAGACATTCTACCTATCAAGCATGCAAAACTAAACAACGCTTAGTATGATACATGTGCTTTTCAATGCTTGAGCATGTTTACAATCCTCTGCAAGGAGACAGTGCAGAACCCTCTTTGCCAGGAGAAGGGACTCCTTGAGCCCCCCAACCCACCCAGTTTTCTTCCTCACCACGCCAAATCAAGAGCAGATGCCACCATGGGCTTCCTGAGGTCTGTAGCATTGCCCAGAACACAGGTACTAACTCCATAGCACACTGTGGGCCACCAGGAGCCTTCCACAGGCAGGCTGTCTCCACACTCATATCAGGCCATCAATTCTGATCATTCCTCCATCTCTGAAGTCACCAGGGGCTGTTCTGGGTGATGCTTGGAGAAGGGTCCTGAAGGCAACACATAGATCAGTCAGGCCACACGTCAGCCTTTAAAAGTGCCACATTCTTGTCTTTCAATACTGTTTTGCTTTGTTTGGGGCCAGGCTCGCTTGCTGGGGACTCTGTCTGTCTCTCGAGGTCTGGGGGATCATCAACTCAAAGTCATCGACACCAACGTTGAAGTCAAACCTTTCCTCTCTTGCATTCCCAAGGTCAGTCACAGCACATGGGAATGTCAGAATGGAATTAAACATGCTGCTCCTCCTTTATAGCACCCATCTCTTACAGACCTGTCAGGTCTTAGCCGTGTCTTTTTTCCATTCCCCATCTCCCCACATCATGCTGAGACAATCCTCAGGACATGAATCTAGAAGCATAGCAGAAAGGGGACATAAAAGAGTCAAAGCACCCCAGTCATGATTTGTCATCTCTTGGGCAGAGTCATCTCTTAGGCCCCTCCAGTACACTGCAGGAATTGTCACCAATTTACTCTTGTGCTTTCCAGGTGAATGTATTTGAATTTGCTCAGCATGACATTAAGGAAGATGATGTCCTCATCATGGCAACTGATGGCCTTTGGGATGTTCTGTGTAACAAAGAGGTGGCCCATGTGGTCAGGAGCTTCCTTGCAGAAAACAGGGCAGATCCTCACAGGTAATACCAGCATTGCTGGTGTTTTCTCTTCCAAAGAACCTGGTCAGACCAAAAGCAGGCCGAGATCACTTTGCTTCTAGGTCAGCTCTGGCATGACCAAGCACCCTTCCTCTGATTTAGGGAAACTGCATTCTGATCTTTCCCCATCTTAAAGGAACAATGATAAAGCTGTTGTCTTTAAAAAAACCCTACTATTTTGACAATGTAAAAATCACATTTCAATATTGTTCTTAAGAGAATAGTGCCATGTTAACCCAAACCTTGCATTTTTTCCACCCACAGATTTTCAGAACTGGCCAAGTGCTTGGTATGCAGAGCCAGGGGAAAGAAGAGAGGCCACCAGTGGATGTTGGATGACAGCCGTGAGGCATCCTACGATGACATCTCTGTATTTGTCATCCCACTGCATAAGAGGGATGAGGACTGACTGTTAGAGATGATGCACAGGATCTCTGTGCCCCCTCATGTGGTGCTATTCAGCATCAACCCGAGACTGAGGGATTTCTGCTGTGCATGTATGCTCCCTTCCAGCAAAACCTGAAAATGCACAGCTGGTACTTATGCAGAAGATAAACATTAGCTGCTTAAGAACATGCAAGAGAGGAACAGTGGGCAACAAATCACTCCCCTTACTCCTTTCTCATTGTTGGGCCAAGGATAAATTGCAAAAGGGGCCATGCAAGCTGAAGGATGCTATTTCCAAGATCTTTGCTGTACAGCAAGACTCAAATTCATGTTTCTAGTGACTCTTCTCCCTTTTTAATATTGCAGAATGAGGATCAGATGAGATCCAACCAGTCTCAAGAGCTGGCTTTCAATCAGACTTGAACCAAGTTGTGTAAAACCAGATGTGTAAGAGAGTCCCTCGTATCTCTTTGCTGAAACACGAGATGTACTGAGAACCCAGGAGTTGCTGCTGTGACAGCACTCGGCGCAGCTGTGCCTGTGGAATGCAGACACTGAGGCAGTAGCCCCGACCTCTTCAGAAAATTGCCATTTGTAGGCAGCACCCCCTCAACACACAGAAGCTACGTGAAGCTACACATCTGTGTACAGCAGCCTCCTGTGTAAAGATACGTGCCTTACTGCTATTTAAGAGCATTTAAGCGTATCAGTATGTAATACAACATACAGATTTCTAACAAACCTTAGTCCACACCACTTGCTAACTTTTTCTATTCATTCAGGTCATTTCTGACAGCAAAGCTGCTTTTGTAGCAGTGGCACTGACAAGAACTGAAGTGTTTAAGTACATCAGCCGATTTAGTAGAAGAGCTCCAAGTAAAATAAACCCAGTTTGTTCAAATGTGTCTGCAGTGCTGGATCTCAAGCGCTTACACTTATTACACCAGGAACAGCAGCACAGACAACATGCCAGAGTTGTGCCTTAAACTCTTGAGAATCTGCTTCTCAACCTGCTCATTAGCCAAGGCAAATTCAAGTTTGGACAAGCTTCCCATCTCCCCAAGGCCCCACTTTGGTTTTCATTATTTGTTACACAAGTTGCAAGATTCCCTAGTGAGGCAGACAAACCCCAGTGTGTGTTAAGTTCCACAAGGATGAAAGCCTTTTTTTTTTTTCCCAGGCATCTTACTGCAGTTTTACTCCTGACAGAGGTTTTACACAGACCCGAGATGGAGAAAAACAGCCTTAGAAAATCACAGGGGAGTCTTTGCCAGAAACCAGTTTCTCACTACAAGTATTCCCTTAGCAGTGCTACCCCGAGGGCTGGGTGTTGAAAGATGATTTCCTGCAGTGGGAGGCCTGGACCCAGGAATGAGGCAGCCTTTTCAGCTCTCTGCTCATGATTTAAGCAAGGGGTAGAACAAAAAGTTTCTCTCCAGCTTCACTTTTCCCCCATCCTCTTGAGTTTAACCTGAAAACAGTGCACATGGAGTTTTACCCATGTTAACGTGATGGTAGCTGCCATCCCCCCGCAGATTTATACTACATAGACATGTACTTGTAGTGACCCAAATCTCCCATTACTCCAAACCAACAAGCTATTTCCCCACCTTCCTGCTGAGAAAGGGCTCAGCTCTTCCATCCAGACCCCAGGCTTCAGTGAACACCCCTTTACCTCAACAAGTAGCTGTTGCAAGACTGCTTCCCTATCCAAATACATTTCTAGGCAAGAAAAAAGCTCTTAAAAGGGACAATTTATGTAGGGATAGCTTCAAAGCATCAAAATTTCCAGTACAGACCTGCCGACTTTTCAAAATGAAGGGGCTTTTAAAAAAAACAGATGATTTTCCCATTCCCCCTTTAAGAAACCAGCAAGTAGTATCACACTGGACAAACGCAGAATTTACAGCACTCAGTGATATCTCTACAAAATATTTATTCATAACAGCCACAACATTGAATTCTCTACATAAGTAGTATTTTGTGACAAAGCATAATTTGACTTCATGTATTTACACTCATCTGGCAGATACCACCTAGGCGTTAAACTCCCCATACCAGGTCATGACCAAAGAGACCAGTTTCCAAGGCTCACCAGGATCCTAGTCCCTGACCCAAAACCAAGGTAAAGTCTCTTAAAGTGCAAATATAGTCAAGAGGCATTGCAAAAGATACACTGCTGCTTCCAAATTTGTTCACCCAGTTGCTCCTGTGTCCCCCAGAGCAGGGGTGGGGACATGAAGCAAGGACCTGGGAGCCTCAATTAAAAAAACCAACTCTGTCAGAGACTAACTTGGAGAATTAGACCCGAAATCTCCCACAGCCCAGACATGCTCAGCCACCACCACTTATTTACAGGTGGGCTGTTGAGGCCCACATCATCCCAAAGAACACTGGAAGGATTGATCTTTTCACTGTTAAATCTGGAGGGGGCATGCTGCTTCCTGCTTGGCTTTGCATGAGGTTGGACACTCCATTAGAGCTGGGAGTGCTGTTTTTAATGAGGTCTGTTTCTCAGCCAGCTGCCCTGAAGAGCACAGGAATTGGTCCTGATACTTTCAGAGAAGCACACAGAAGCTGGAAGCTAAAAGCTTTACCACCTTTCTGGTCTAACCTAGAAACACAATACTTGACAACACTTGGCTCGTGTCCCTCTTTAAAAGGCAGATGGAAAACACCAAGTGCTACACCAGCTAAGAAAGATGTCTTTGCCCGTGCAGGTGGCAGTGGGCCCTGGGAAGGCATTCAGATTTTATTCTGAACTGAGCATTAGTGCTGTGGTGTGCACAAACCTGCAAATTTAAAAGCCAGAAAGTCACTAATGTTCTTAGTGTATGTGTCCTTCTTAATCAGTCCTGTGTTCCTCTTTTCTTAAAAGATTTTGTGCTCCAACCAACACTGCAAGCAGAAGAGAGCTGAACAATGGTCTTTAGACAAACACTCAAACCACATTAATGAAGAGCATTTTTAGAATAAGAGCCTTCCAAGTGCTTCCCTGTGAAAAGTAAGAAAAATGGCTGGAGGTTATCTGTTCTCTTCCTCAAGCAACAGACCTGGTAAAACCCTGAAAGATGATTTGCTACTGAACACTAAAATTTAACTGTTAAAATGCATCACAAACCCCAAATACCTGGATGTTACAAACCACTGCAAAGTATGGCTGCTTACAGAAACACCAACAATGGGAAAATAGCACCAAGCAGCCTGAAACACAATACTGAGCTGAAGAGGTGGCTGTGGAAAGCTGGTCAACAGTGAGGACCGAGATAACTATCTCCCTTCACAGTGGGCATCTATAGGTGACGGTGGGGCAGTACAGGAAGAGGGATGTTGGCGGAACAGTATGAATTTCTCTTCCGCATCTCTAACAGCAGGCCTGTTTGGCAAGATCAAAATCAGTCCGAGCATTCCCTTCCCTCCTCCGGTCTGGAGGACAGCAACTCACATCCCATCACAGACCTGTGCTGTTAGAAATGTCTTGGAACACCTGCAGCAGCATCAGCAGAGGCAAGCCACAGAGCTGAAGGAGAAGCTTCAACCGCAGCACCAATCCAGACAAGTTTATCAGACTGCCTCGTGTGGGCAGTCCTCCTGCCCACTGTCACAGGCAACTGCTGCAGCTCAGCACGAGCTGCTACGTTCAAGGAACCAGAGTGGAAAAATGCTGCCTCCCCATCCACACAGCTCATCTCCACTGACAAGGATTGGGGGTGGGGACACCGGGGAAGGCAAGAAAAAGCAAGAGAAGCTGTTCTGCAAGCCAACTGACTTTTCTAGGGAGACATACTCTGAATTATATACAGGGCCCCACAGTTGAGATGAACTTTGCTGTAGCAGGGGAACATCCAGACAACTGACCTAAGGTAAAATGATCGAGCAGCGTTCTCCAGTATGGACTGACACCTGAGAGCAGAGAGAACAGGCCCACTACTGTCCTTGCCACCTTACCAGCATTTTACATTTAGGAGTGGGGAAGCACACACGCCTGGGCAAGAGAAAGAACTGACTTTCCAAGCTGTGACCCAGCACATAAAACCAAGTGTGTTTGGAAAGGCAAGAATACAATTAACACCACATTTAAGCTGAGCCTGGCCTGGCCTGCTGGTTCATGCATTTGATCAATGCAATGTTTCAGGGAAAAAAAACCAAACTGGAAGCAGGCTTGAAGACCAGCCTGCCATCCTTTCTGTGCCATTCGCCCACAAGCCCCTCTGGAGCAGCAGAGCACATCCCTCCCGTCTCTTTGCAGGGGCGTTCCATGGAGCAGGGCCACAGCAAAGCAGAGTCAGCACAGTCACATGTAAGTTTTTTAAAATTCAATTCTGGAGACACCATCTGACAAAGGAAGCATCACTCTTTCAGGGCCATCGCTGCAAAGCTGCAGGACCTGTAACAAAATGCATGATGAACTGCATGTCAGTTTTATCAACAAAGGGATACAGGTCTAAGCCTGGTGTGGGGAGAACTTAATGGAGCTTATTTACAAACCAGGAAGGGAAAACTGCATGGGTGAAGGTAAACAGCCTAGACACCCCACAATACTGGCCCACATCATATTCTTTAATATCTAAAAGTAAAAAAATATGGCCCATTCCCACTGCCCTCCCCCTCCCCCCCAAATATTTACAAGTAAGAACAGCCATGATACATAAGGAAGATACACAGGGCAGACTGTGTTTTCAGTCTCAGTTTGGTTTCTCCATCTTCCTGCTGACAGACTCCTTTATTGCTTGGGACACCGACTGGACCTCAGCAGTACTGTCTCAGCGCCCTCTGGGATGCTGGCCCAGCAAACAGAAGGGAAGCTTCAGCAAGCTCAGGCAGTGGACAAAACCTGTATGGTTTGCTGCACGCTAAATCGCTAAAGAAAGAGTAACAGGGTGTATCATGTGTATTTACAGTCACCCACTCTTTCGGTGCATGGTCCACTGAAAGAGAATCCAGCATCTGCTGCTGAAGTTGAAAACTGTCAGTGTTCACATTTGGCACAGAAGTAACTTTTCATCAGTGGACTGCAATGAAACCAGAGATCCCAGATGTGAAAAACATGCACTTATGGGAAGGAACTACGTGTTCCATCTTGGAACATCAACAGCCTTGTGCACTTACAGAAGGAACACACACAGTTACAGCTTAAAAAATGCCACAAACATTTTGTAAATAAAGCAGATTCATTGTTTTCAGAAATAATACTTGTGTCAGTTCCAACTTCAGCTGAAGCCTGCTGGGCACGGACTGGAAGGTAAGAACATGTAGCATGCCACTTCTGAACATGATAGGAGGCCACAGAGGAGTCCTCGCAAAGGAATGCAGCAAATAAGGTAAGACATATGGAAACATATGTAGGAACAGGAACACAGTCTAGGAGATCTAGGCAATTCCAATACTGTGCTTGCAGTGACGTGCTGCTGTTAGCAGTATGGAAGTCACTTGACAGCAGCTGCAGTGTAGGAATTAGTCGTCGATAGTTGGCAACCAGAAGGCCTACAAAAGAAGAATGAACATGTTTTACAGAGCAGAACACAAATCTCTCCTACAGCACTGCAGGAACAGAACACTGCTACCTTCTGTGAGCACACAGGCAGAGACTACCAAAGAGCCAGCAATGCCCTCTCAGCAGTTTGAGGTTACAATCCTTGCTGACACTCAATTGCATTGCTCGTTCTCCAGAGCCAGCCAGTCTTACACACACTGAAAATACCAGCTGTGTATAGTGACCTAAAGAACTCATACTTCTGTGTGCACACTGCTGCTCTGCTTTTATGTGTGTGCTCACATGCTGGCCTGCCACGTGTGCTGCCCCACGCAGCTACTGCAAGGTAAGGCACAATCAAAGTGTAACAGACAGGGGCCTGTCTCTCACCAAAGGCCAAGGAAATGGGCACTCAGTGACACTGAGCCTTCTCAGATTCATTTCTGAAATGGTCATCACCTCACTGAGCTAGGAGGAACTTAAAACACTTTCCTTACCATATTGGAACATGCGCTAGCAAAAGTCATGAATTTTGGATTGAACTGCAGACAGGTTATAGGACCCGTGTGTTTCCCATCCAGCACAGCCACCTTCATCCCACTTTCCCCATTCCAAACATGAATCTTCCCATCCTCTGAACCTGCAGGCAGGAGGGGAAAACAAGATACACGATACATTTGAGAGGCTAACAGAGAAAATGAAAAACAAACTTTTCTGTCAGAAAACTGTAGGAACAAGCATGCCTCATCTTCATAGCTTAACCTTTAAAATTCTCTAAGTATCACTAGGGCATTTTCAAAACATCACTCGAGTTCACACCCCTGTAGCCAAACATATATATCTTTGCACTGCAGAGTCTCAACTACACAACACAGTGCAACACTATTCTGGCAAAGAGGTTAACAACTACAGTCACCCAGTGGAAAAGGAGAGCTGACACCATCCAACTAAGGAAGACAGACCCTTGCCAACTTGCACCAGTGTGTGAGGACGAAAGCTGCATGTAAGAGTCATTGTTCACACAAGTTCTCAGTTCAGACACAAGAGATAAATATTTCATGTGGTAGGCACACAATCACATCAAAGGCTTTTGACTGAAGGCAACCATATTTCAATGCACTATGCCAAATACCAAAAGCCTCATTGCAGATGTCAGCACTCCACATTGCTACAATGGGACAGGTTTTTCACTTTAAAATGGCATTTTGCAAACTCTGAGGCTGGGCACTTAACATTTTTATAATTCAATTCTGGTTTGGTCTCTTTTTAAATAGGACTCCAAATAAAAATGCAAGGTATTTTCTTCTGCTTCTGTATTTATACGTATGACCTTTCAGGGATGAAAAATTAAGCCGCAAAAGTCACAGCTTAGCTATATGTAAAAACTGAACAGAAATTAGTGTTTTGGAACTTCTTCCACTATAGCTTTCATTTGGAAGAGCACAACAGGAAGGTAAATACATCCAATAAAGTGCTCTCCAGAGACTGACTAAACAAAGAATTCTGTCCACCTCCTTTGCAATCAGAAAGTTCTCAGCCAGAGTCAAAAAAAAAGTTTTCCAAGACCATCACTCATCCAGGAAAAATGAGGATCTGGATACCAATTACCACAAAGTTAAACATATTCAATGCACCAGCCATATGAATAAGAACAAAAAGAAAGTGCTAGGAGAGAGCAGCATAAGAACAAAAAGAAAGTGCTAGGAGAGAGCAGCACCACACAGATGGGTCTGATGTGTGTTCACGGGTCCTGTTGGGCAGCAGAGCCTAGCAGAGTGACTGAAGTGTTCACCTTGGGGTGCCCAACCTGCAGCACCAGGCTTCACAGGAGTTGCAACTGCTTTTTGCCACTCACTTCACTCAGGAGTCCTTCCTGCAGGGGATGAGGCAGGGGACCTGGGCCAGAGCAATCATACGCTGGGAGCCCACTGCTTCTATCAAGAGGGAAGTGGCTTATTCCACAGACATTGGAGTTTACAAGGGCCACCTGAACAAAATGCAGCTGCCTCAGAACGGGAACATCCAAGAGGTGTACAAACACCCCAGACTGTGAGACCAATTGCCCAAGCACAGGCAGGTGCCTTGCTCAGACAGTGGAGGGCAGGCCATAACAAAGAGCCCCAAAACGCTTAGAGGCAGCCAATGAGCACATCCAAGCCACAGCATGAGGATCACTGACAGAAATGATTCCACACATTACAAAGTTTGCCAGTTTCTTATCTTTTTTGGAATAGCATTCAAATATAAAGGAAAAAAAAAGTCTTGCAGGCTCGTTTAGATTTCAGTCTAGGAAATGCAGAGTAAACTAACAAAACAGGAAACTGTCAATGCAAAGAAAGCTTACAGCTGCATGGTGTTATTTAAATACATTCTGCTTCCCAACAGACACAGCTTTAGTCCTACATAACACACCTAATTTCAGAGCACTGAAATTCTTTCCAAGAAGAATTGTCTTACCTATCATGATGAACTGAGAGTCTGGTGTGAATGATGCCTCCAGCGTGACAGCCTTACTATTGTTATAACCCTATGGCACAAAACAGGAGAATATGTAGTAGAGAGTGTGTCCAAAGTAATCTTGCAACCAAAGGGCACCTGCTCCCAAAACTAACACCAAGTTTCAAGAAGGTAACACAAACATGCTCACCCCAAAAGTATGCAGGATAGCTCCTTTAAAAGCATCAATCAGTCGAATGAACCCTCCATTAGTCGATATGAGAATGAGTTTGCCATCGTTACTGAACTTCAGGCCTGTCCACTCACATGTTCGATCATACTGCATTTTAAACGTAGCAAATGGCCCCTTCAAAGAAAAAACGGGAAATATGATGTAGACTCTGTGTGCATTGCTGCTAACAAGAGTCTGCTTTTAACCTTAGCTCAGGAAAAGTAGTTTAAGATTTTTCAAAAGAAAATCTTTAGTCCTAAGATATCAAAGGAACACGTCATGGCAAAAACATGTCACTGCATGTGTAAGTTTCAAAAAAGTATGAATCCACAGTTCCCACCGCAAAAAAGAGCCACAGTAGGGTGTTTCAATACCCAACAGTCCCATACCCTATTATATTCAACGACAGAAATTAATTTAAGGTAGAATGAAGTTTTCAAACACAGCTGCTAACTGAAGTTAGAGAAAGAGCTTGAGCCACTGTTATCGTCATCTGACTTTTTGAAAACCATGGAACTAACTATTCTCAGCGCTTAGCCAGTTCAGCTGCCCACCCAATTAGTTTCTTTTGAAATTTTCATCCTTGAACACGAGTTTGGAACAGGTTAAAGAGTTAGCAGAAGTAAACTTTAACACTGGTTCAAGAGTGGATTGCAGGAATTAGTGACATCACATATCCCTTTCTGTGTGTGAGATGTGTCGTTACTGAAAATGAGATGCCAAGCAGGCAACCCAGACAGTAAGCTAGAGTAAAGAAATCCAGCCTCTGAGCAGTGAGTTTAGACTACTTCTTGCAAGCTAAAAAGTGTAAAAGTGAAGTTAGGGTAGCTCACCTTGTCAAAAGAACGGAGATCATAAAGCTTCACCATTTCAGAATTGACTCCAGCAGCAAAAATCAACCCTTCTGGGTCAAAAGAACACACAGGCTTCCCTTGGAGATGCATTAAACCCTAGAAAAAAACCAGAAGTTTAGTTAAAATTATTTTGCAAAACTGATGCTCACATTTCTATGACCGCCCCTTGAGCCCACTGTGAGCAAAACAGCAGCCTACATGTGGAACAACTGAATTTCAATTGTAAATATTGAGGTTTTACAGAGGTTCAGAATTCAGCTCCTCAAAAGCAACTCTGACTACTTCAGGTCATCATATGGAAATTCGTTTGCTGCAGTAACAAAGTTTACATTAGAACAAATCAAGACCTCCTTCGAGCTGTTATCCACTCAAAAAGTACCCAGAGAGTGAAGGATGATGTGGCTGTATTAATGAGAACAGCACCACAAAACACTGCTGCTGGGATTGATAGCAACGCTTTATCAATTATGGTTGCAAAAGGGGGGAAAAAAAAAAAAGAAATCTGAAAGCAAGTAGAAAGAAAGAGCTCCAGTGAACACTGCTGCTGAACTTTCTGTGCCTGTCTAATGACAACTCATACCTTCTGGCAGTCAACAGAACTTACATACTGAAACTGACAGATTACTATCAGTGCTTATTTTTAATGTTAACTTTTCCTTAACTTAAATAGAAAGGGCTTGAGGAAATTTGGTAAAAGCCAACAAGATATATAACTTTCTGTATCCTGACTGGCAGGTGTATGTGTTAGCCAAATGTCTTTATGTAACTGTATACACATAAGTAAGAACACATCTTTGATTAAATCAACAATACATTTAAGAAGTTTCTGCATTTTGGAAATACCATTCTTCTCTAGAGAAGTCTAGAGACTTTACTACTTCTCTCTTCTTTCCAGTTTAGGTCAGTTTTCCCTGTGATACCTGAAGGCTAGGCAGTAAGCTAGTGAATGCTCAGGGCCCCGGCAAGTGGGGTATCTCTGGTTTCCCAACAATATTTCTAGGCACTACGGCTGCCACCTCATGGGCAAATTGAAAATTACGACTAACACTTCCTCAGCCAGTTTCCCAAACTTTCCTGGCTGCAGCTTCCAGCTACAAGTCCTAGTTTCACCATTCTTACAAGTTCATGTATTAGCATAAATCACAGAATTGCTACTGAGTTTACAATCCTATCTGTAGCAACTTTGGAACTGAGATTCATGCCAAGGGAAACTTACACACTGGCATTAAGGGCATACTCCCAGAGAAGGGCAAAATTAAGATTTCTTGTCAGAAGAAGCTTGGGTTTAAGACAGATAAAACCATTTTCTAAGACATGTAACCTTTTCTTCCTTTCGCATTTACACCATCTGGAACAAGTAAATAGCCCCCCCTCGTATGCAAAATGGTCCCAGTGAGATAGGAATATATGAGTACACCACTATGTGTCCAGACATAGGGACAAAAGAGCTCATCACAAATAAACAGATGGAGATTCTACTGCTAGTCTTTCCTTCCTGCCCCTGCTGCCAGCTCCAGTACTTTTCTTTAGATAATCAGTTTCTTCATCAAATTTAATTGCATTAAGACATCAATTTTAAACAGACACTAAACACTCCGATAAGGTGCATTCCCAACTCAGGAAAGATGCTGGCTAAGAGAGAACTGTCTCTGTATGGGGTAGCAGCCTGATGAACAAAGCTGATGACACCCAGCTCTTCTCTTGTTTCATCAGCTGTGGGTGTTATTTCCTGCTCTTCCCAGCGCCTCTGCAGCAGAGGCACAGGGGAAAGCGAGCACTGTTACACAATGCAACACACATTTCGCAGAGATTGCTGATCGAGGCTCCTTCAGCATTACAGGAAGGTGTCAGCAGTAAATCAGTAACATACATTTCTGGCAGTATTTCTGTTTTATAACAAACATCCATTCTTCATCCTCTTAACTGAAAACACAACACAATACGCACATGAATTTGATATCCTACCTGGCAATTTGGAGAGCGGAGATCCCAAAGTCGAATAGTTTTATCAAGGGATCCAGAAATAAAAGTATCATCCACTGGAGACATTGAAAGAGCAACCACTCTGCAACACAGAAGACCACGTGCATAAGAGACACACAAAAGAAATGGAGCAACACCTACCTGATAAACACAAATAACATACTCAGAACAGGTTTCCCTCTATGCTTGCCTTTATTATATACACAACTCAGAGTTGGGCCACCACCTCAGTGAATGTCAACTTAAATTAGTCCTTGCTCCTTCTTATAGAGGTATGCTAAACCATTACATCACACAAAGTCCACCTTAATTTCCCATGATATTTCAATTCTCTATTCTTTCAGTGATCAAAATGTCAATAAATTTCCATCAGTCAGCAAGTCTTTATTGTTCTTGTCTTTGGTTCTGCTCCTGATCACATTGTCTATTGGTCCATTTTAGTGTCATCAAGTCATCCATCTTCAAACAGCTTCTATTTTCCTTCACCTTCTGCAACCTTCTTTCATTGTTCTATTCAGCACTAACTTTTTAGAAATTAAATCTTATAACCTTTAAGAACCTTTAAAAACTAGACATTTTAATTATCACCCAAATCATATCTTATGTGTATATCAGGTAAAATATTATAATGAGCTTAAACATAAAGGTTTCAATTCGTCTATCATTATCTACTGATTAACTAGGCTGGGGTTTTGGCCAACCATGGTGAGGGCTATACATAGGACAAATCAGCAGTACAGCATGGTTCCATGACTTCGATCTATTTGAACACCTGCATCCTTACAACAGCTTACTAGTTTCTAGTCTCTTATTCAGAATCACAATGATAATTTCTTATTTCTATTATATCAAATATTTATCTATGAGTAATCATTAAAAGATATTTTAATCTTTTTATTAACACTACCCCAACAGTTGTGTACAAGTTCAAAATTTCCATGAACAGCTTCTACAAAGCAAAAAACAGAGTGAATCAAGTGTAATGTAACTCAAGCTCATTACAATCATTATTTCCATTTCTGTTGTATTGCCTCCAAGCCACATCTCACCTTTTTGTATGCCCAGGGAAATATCGAATGTATTTGTTGTCATGCAGGGAGAGGTACCGGATTGTATCTGAAAACATAAACAAACCATAGGTTTTATTTTACCATGAACCCAACATTATCTGTAAGTGGTCACACAGCAAGCTTGCTCCCCACAGCAACAGCAATCTTGCCATAGTAAGTCAGGTCATTTGATTTCAAGTCAGACTTTGAAACTGAATCAAGTTAGAAACAGACATAAAACAACTTGGTTTCCAAGACAGAACTGGAAATGAGGCACCAGGAAGATACTTCCCACTGTCTGAAGTCATATTACAGCTTAAAGGCAAACTGTCATGTGATTTATGCAAGTTAATTTTGAAGTTGCTAAAATTTAAGTACCAGAAGGTTTTATTCCATCATTCTCACAAAATTGAGTGTATCAAATTTACAAAGTTGACACACATTTTTTTGCTATACAGCATGAATCTTACTGTTTTACATACGTACACATCCAGCAAATAAGTCTCTGACTAAACAGTAAGCATAGGAAATGTGCGAATTCTAGCATTTAGCCAAAGAGAAGATAAAAACATGAACTTCAAAGCCAAGCAAGACCATTAAAAAGCAACAAATCTCTCTCCTTTTTTTTAATCTGACAATCAACAGCTTCACACATTCTCTGCAATTAGAGCAGCTAAGCTTTAAGAAGAGGACAGAGGAGTAATCTAAAGCTTAGTCCATTTAAAGCAATTTTAAAAATATATTGAATAAATCAGAGCAGCACCACAACATTTCTCAAGTGGCAATTTTATACTGAGTATAGATGAACATACCAAGAGTAGCTCAGAATTTTGTAAGATGCTGTTGAGACTTTCTCCCAAGATTAAAAGAAAACCTTGTAAGAGTAAACAATTATTAAAGCACAGAAGCTACTTTTTAAAATCTTTATCCATCTGAGCAATGAAATGTGAAGAACACAAGTTAAACCTCTGATATTTGAAAGCAGCAAGCAAAATCACTTCTCATACTAGTTAGAGAACACTAGTTTAAGCTGTTGCTGGATGGAAGAGATTTGCATTATGCACCTGCACCATACAAGAGACTCCATACTGCTGTAACATCTTGCTGAGGCTCCAAAGAGAAACTGAGGGAAAAGGACATTTTTGCTTTTGACTCAGAAGAACAAGAGCCAACAGGATGCAATACACACAGAGCATTTTAACACTCAGAAGGGCTACTGTGTTCAGAGCTTTTTGAAAGGTTCATTCAGCAAACTTTGTTTCTGTAAAAAAATAATCAAGTTACCATTTTTGCCTGAGGTTTCACATCAAGCTGAGATGAGAGTTCTAGACTGCTCTCCAGTTATCTGACAAGAAAACTAAAACTGATTGATCAAGCTGGAAACATGATGCTGGTGACACACCATTCTGAAAGGCTCTAAGTGACTACAGGTGACTATCCAAAACATAAATCCCCAACACCAGTGCCACACCCCATCATGGCTAGATGCTGATATGGTTCAAGCACACTGTTAAGACATCTCTAGTTTTTCCCAAAAGAACTGTCATTACCTGATTTCCAAAGTATCCGTGTAGAATTTCACCTTCATTTGCTAAAGAGGAAGCACTGGGAACTCTAATCCTTTGTGATCCTTTTTGTTGGCAGCGCTCTGTCCCAGGCAAGGCAGTGGCCTGTACAGTTATCTCCTGTACCGGGTGGTATCATAGACCCTCAAACTGTACAAACTACTACCTCAGCCTGGAATCAGGCAAGATGAGCTAGGTTCAAAGGTCTTAAGGAAGTCTTCAGAAGTCAGTGGACTGGTAGCAACTCCAACACATTAAATGCTTGGGAGCAATCGCCAGTACTCCTATAACATGTTCCTGAGTTAATTTTTCCTCCTGATAACTGCGTAACAGGTTAAATACAATGCACGAAGCCCAAGACTGCATGCATTACAGACTAGAGAGTATCTGGACCCCCACAGAACACCCTGCTGGTTTTATCAGGCTTATGGTTTGTAATAACAACAAATACTTTCACATTCTACCTCTTTTCTTCTAATCAAGTATTTATCATAATGCTACCCTGCAGGATGAAGACTCTTAAGTTCTAGTTCCTCAAAAGCTTACCTGTGCTTTTAAACAAAAACCCACAACTGAAAATGGCATTAAAAATGCTTCATTAAATCATTAATTGCTGCACACTGAGAATGGAAAAACATCCCCTTCCTTTGCAATTGATTTGTGTGTGTACCAGACAAAACTACAGCATTTAGCCCACCTTCTGGCCACATGCTCCTTCTACCTCATTTCACACATAAGAAATTAAGGCACAGAGGCTGACTGACAGCACTGGTATCAAACAGCAAAGTGAACAGCAGAATCAAGAACTGAACTTTTATCCCACTAACAATGTTTAATCCCTTAGTTATTGCAGCAATGAACAAAACTCACGTCAGCATGCTTAAGGGAACACCACCGAGTTGTGCATTTGAGTTGAACATTAATTCCTCTGTCTCTGACAGCGCATTTATCACTGAAAAGTTTCTATAATTTTTTCCCAGCTCTTTAGATCTGTTTATCCAGGCATGTAGTTTTAAGTGTAAGGAGACAAAATATGTTCAACTCCAGTAAATTACTTACCATCTATTTTGTTGGAGCTGTACACAACAGTGTTGGCAGCATGTGTGTACCTGATGAGGTCCACGCCATACTTCTTACTGTACAGTGTTCTCTTTGGTCTGTCAGAAGGAAGCAAAAATAATAGCACTCACTGCAACAAAATGCTCAAAACACAACTCACCGCGTTAAAAAGGCCTGTTTTCATTGAGATACTGCAGGATTGTTTCAAGTAGTCAAATGTTTTTATACAAGGTAAGAAAAGCTTCTGTATTTGATTTTCAAACAAGCACCTTGGTGCTTCTTTCAAGACCATCCCTAGGCTTGAGGAATTCCCTGTAACACCTGAAAAATGCACTTGTCTCCTCCAAAAATTCTTTTTACAGTAGACATCATGGGAAAAAGAATATGAGGAGGTAGCACAACGAGCCGTTAATGTCAAGCAGCACTGCCTCATCACTCCCATGACCATCCAAATCCCTAACCTATCTGCTACTTAGATTAAGAATAATTTGTCTTTTTGTTCTATATTACTTCAAATCGTAGAACAGTGTCTCATTCAGAATAGGCCTTCTCAGTATTAAGACACACACAGTAGTCTATAAAAGCAATGCTAACACAGGGACTCTTAAACTACTGGAGAATTATATTCGATCTTAAAAGACTCAACATTTTGCTAAACAAAAGACGTTCTAGTGAGACGAAAGAACATACAGAACTGGATTTTTAGGGGGTCTGGTAAGCAAGTGATGTACTGCAGTATGATAAATTTAAACTGCAAAAAACTTAGAAGTATCTGGTTAATAAGTGTATCTTGCAGCAGCAGCACCTGTTCAAGCAGTGCAAGGTCTCCACTACCCTCCTTCCACCTTTTTCCTCAGATGAAGTAGCACAGAGGTTTCGAAGCTGGGCAGTCAATCAACAGCAATACCCAGCAACACCAGAAACAATAGTCTCTTCCAGCAGTTATTTTTAATCTAGAAATTCTTAACTATGGTTATTACACAGGCCCACAAAATATTTTACCAGCAAAACCCAAAGACAACAGCATGGGAATGGAAGCAAACAGGAGGAGTGGTTTACATCAATACTGCTGCCAATAGAAAAGTTTATCAGACTACACCCTCAGACAAGGCATGTATAAAATGCTCAACTTTTTCCTTGTTTTCATTAGCCTCAAACTGACAGACCCAAACAGGAGCATGAGTTGGAGACTTTTCATATCAGAAAACAGTCATTCATTCTTAAAAATTCTCAAACATCAGAAGCCATAGAGCTTCCACTTCAAATGAACTTGGTGGGGACAAGCTTCCATTAGCTGAAAGCCAATGCAGCAACTGTAATTAAATCCCATACACCACCTCTTCCACTCACACCAAATCTCAACAGAGTCTTCCTCAGTTCCTCCAGTAGGTTCTTAAATCAATTTTCAAATGCTAACACGCTACAAACTGAAAACACTGCATCAAATGTAAATTTAGACACCAAAATTCTGTAACATTATACCTCATATACTTACCCGTACTACACACTCTAGTTACCTCAGCTATGCTGTTGACCACGTTGAAAAAAATTTAAAAAAAACACACAAGAAAAAACCTCCACAAACTTCAAAACATACTAAGACTCTCATGCCTAGTCTGGCTCTTCCTTATCTGTGAAAAGTTTAAAGCTTAGAAGCTCCATTCAGAATAAACAAAGATACACAGGGAAAATAAAGATTAACATATGGACAAAAGCACATTTATGAAAAAGAAGGAAAGAAAATGCTTCTGTTTTAAGAAAGGTGAAGTTTTTGTGTTAGTTGACAGAAGCAAAAGCATGTCACTTCACACAAGACAAACCGCCTGTTCCCAACCATTTAAAAACACAAACAAGAAAACTAAGTTTTTCATATTTTTTAAACAAATCACAATCACTAAATGTAATTCCAAGTTTAACCTTAATCTATCCAGCCCACTTGCAAAGAAAGAAAAATGTTTTAGAAGATGACAGTGAAATCTTCTATAAAGCTGATAGAAAACTTCATCACTGAAGGTGATGATGATGCTCATGAAGTCAGTCAATTTTTTCAAGCTCGTTGCCTAAAATCAGAATATACATAACAAGGGAATCTGTGTTTCAAGGAGATCATTTTGTCCTGTCAGCCCCTGGCTACACATCACTGTTTAAACTGTCCTGACACTTTCAGAAACTTAAGTTCACTGAGATGAGCCTAGTCATACTGGTAAGGACTCTTGTAGCTGTATGGCAAAACAAAGCAAACTAGGTGATACTTAGGTACAACCAAACACAGCTGCATTTGAATTCTACCAGCAGAACTGCTCATTAACAGGGGGAATAAAACCTGTAAATTTTGCCACTTTTACATGGGAACAAGTTTTAACATTCAGGCCATTTGATTAAGTAGGGTATCTTATACTGAACCCAGCAAGCAGGACATTTCCTCCTGGCCGTTATATTCATTAGCAATGACATATACAAGAAGGTGAGAGTTCTAGGCCCTTGAAATGGTGGTTTAACTAAGAAATTTACTATAGTCCTGAAACTGCCGAATTCCACCATGTCACAACAACGATCTTTCACACATTTGATTTTTCAACTCCACATGAATCTCTAGTGACAAAGTAATTCACACCTAAAACATTCCAGGTGAGGGAAAAAAAAAAAAGGTCCTGCATCCCTAGATACCTCTAAAAATCACAGTTACACTTTAAAATCAATTGATGGTACAGGAGAAACTTTCAAATTCATTTTCTAACCACTGAAGAAATGCATCCTGAAACAGGGGTTACCTTGATGAAAATATTCTCAATGCCCTGTAGCACTGCAATAGCTAACCATCGATCTTCTACATTTAACTTAAGCAAATCCTCTGACTGTAAAGCATACATCAGGACTCGATGGAGATAGGGATGAGAGGACCAAATGCCTCCCAACCCATCAAACTATTCTTTATAAGTTTGAAAACGGAAGAGCAATCAATACCTAAAAGCATTAACGCCACTCAGTCCTTCTACTATTGTAAACAACTAGGATCTAGAGTACATGGTAGACACCATAAAGTTACCTATTTTTACATAAATAAAAATTACATAATTTCAGAAGTTCACTCTATCAGACAGGGAACACCAACAACTTTTAAGACAAAAAGCAAGCAAACTAAATAGAAGTATAAAATAACATACAATAAGTGGTCTACAAATTTAGAGAATATGCAGGATGCAATCTTTCAAATACAAGTATGCTGCCTTGGTCATCTTGAAAAGCAGGAGAATTAGGAATTCCTGGTGTATGCTTTACTAGAAAATATACACCACACATCTACCTCCTGGTACTCTCAAGCCATTTCTTTTTCATTCCTGCATTACCCTGTCCTTTTTATTCTCTTTTTTTACAATACACATGTTCGGTTTTCTTTCACTTCCTGTATGTGATGCTCTCTAGTCTTGACTTAAAAAAAAAAAAAAAATCACCTCATATTACATCTCTACATCAAGAAGCACATGTAAATTAAAACTTAAAATTTAAATTAATTTAATGCAGCCAAATGCATACTTGTACCAATTGAGAAAGGTTTTAATGGAATAACATCATTTGGCTCAATTTGTTCCAACTCTCATAGAATACAAATGCATTTTGTATACGTTCCAAGACATCAGCTGCAAGTGTTACTAGTTATTTGCACCGTTTTATCCTCTGAACAAGAGCACCATATCTCAAGTGCTGTGCAAATTTCTCAGGTTTTATCCGTAAAACAAGTGTCATGTGACCAATGAAAAAAGATAAACTAGACTAGATGAACTGTTCAGTGAGAAACACACAAACCTTAATTCACTACCCTTAAGTATCAAAAAGTAATAAACACTTTGCTTGATTAAATATAAAGTCAACGTTTGAAGACAAATGTAAATCACACCTGTATTCTAACTGTGCATTACAGATAAAAACGCAATTAGAGACACGGATTTAAGGCACTGAGGACCACCTTTATCCACAACGTTCCCAGACATCACTTAGGAACTAGGCTTTAAGGAAAACACCATTTAAGTTTTTAGAAGTTATAGTATGCACACACCACACCATCTTCACCTTTTGGCTTAAAGCATTTATCCATGAAGTTACACTCAAATTAGGTTGTTTAAAATAGCACATGTCTACAGTGCCCACAGCAATTGTTTCTATTTTAATTAGTAAGACTTAAGCCCAGAAGCCCGAGAAGTCAGTTTGCATATCTGTAATAATCCCGAGGCCTGAAAACATGGCCAGACTCAGCCCCTTAAGCTTAACAACTATTTATTTCTCACAGCAGTGAACTCTCTCACACTTGGGAAATTACCATCACTTGCTCCAGCCTACTAGAGATAACAAGCAGATACCCGTAGTGCAGACA